GTCTCTTGGTGATGGCTGTGGGGTCTGGGGCAGGGTAGGACTCTGAACATCTAGGGTAGGAAGGTGAGCATTCATAGCTAAAATCAGGACCATGCAGAACACAAGGGGGGCAAGTTGGCTTTCCTTGACCATCCTTGTGGCATCACATAGTACAACGCATTATGGAGAAAGATGTAAAATCCGCCTGAACCACAAAGGGCATAGGAGAGATTTTGAAGGCATTTCCTGCCTGGAAGAGACACTGGAGCTGTTCTAGTGTCCAGTCTGTTCCAGACGCAGTGTGAGGCCCTTCTCCATGCCAATGAGAAATGTTAGCCCAACGCTTTCTCCTCCTTGCATGCTTACTACCATTTTACACGTGTTTAATCACTTATTTATTTACTGTGTATGTGCATTTGTGTGTATGTAGTCTCTTGCATGGAGGTCAGAGGACAATTGGCAGGGGTTGGTTCTCTCCTGCCACTATGTAGGTCCCAGGGATTGAACTCAGGTCATAGGTTGGGTGACAAGTGTCCTTACCGGTTGAACCATCTCGCTGTCACCTTGCTACATTACTAAAGATTCCTAGGGACTCTATGATCCAAAATAGTGTGTGCCAAACAGTGGGGTTCAGGCCACATGACTGCTCCCAACAGGACAGAACCCCAGAATGCCTGAACTAGAAGGAATATTAGAGATCAAGGCAGGTCCATTATTAACAGACAGAAAACATCCAGAGAGGAGATGCCGCTTACTCAATATCACACAGCTCCTTCGCAAAGCTTTGAAAACAGTCTTCAAAGCCCCTGTCTCCAAGACTCAGAGCTAAGATCCTAAGAGTTATCACCTCCTCAGGGGGCAGTGACCATGTTCTCGGGTTCAGAGGCCCTTTCCATCTCTCCATCACTGTGCAGGTAACTCCAGGGCCAGAGAGCACTGAGGAAAAAGTCTGTAGCCATGTGGTGTAAATGGCACTTTCCATACCACCTGTCTTCTATGCATCCTGGACAATGGCCTGCTCACATCCTCTCATCCAGCCATCCTCTGTGGTTCTTCCAGCCTCGGGATTTCACAGTCGCCCCTAATGATAGTTCATTTGTCACTTTTGTATAGCTGAGACCAAAATACCTGAGGGAGGGCTGGGCAGATGGCACAGTTGGTAAAGTGCTCGCCACGCAAGCATGAGGACTTGAATGGGTCCCCATAAGAAGTAGGATGTGCTGGTGGCCTGAACCTACAATTGTTGTAGAATACTATTCTAACTAGGCAAAGACATGCTACACTTGTTCGCGCTGCAGCGTATTACTTTAACTGTGTACAGGTGTGTTGCTTTTGTTTAGTGATGTAAGAATGGGTGTTTAATTATGTAAAGATGTGTTGCATCTGTTTTACCTTGCCTGCCTAAAGCACCTGATGATCTAATAAAGAGCTAAATGGTCAATAGCTAGGCAGGAGAAAGGATAGGCGGGGCTGGCGGGCAGAGAGAATAAACAGGAGGAGAAATCTAGTCTTGAGACAAAGGAGAAGGAGAGAAGAGGAGAGGATGAGGGACACACCCGGGGCCATAAGCCAGGCAGCTGTCAGACAGACAGACAGACAGACAGACAGCAAGAAAGTAAGAAAAGGTAAAAAGCCCCAAGGCAAAACATAGATAAAGAGAAACAGGTTAAATTATAAGTGCTAGCCAGAAAACAGCTAAGATAAGGCCAAGCATTCAAAACTAATAATAAGTCTCCACGCCATGATT